ATCCTCTGGCCTGCTTGTGTGTAAAGCTCTCATTTTTACTGTGTTTTCATTGGTGGTAGTGGGGGGGGGGGTGTCACTCCCTATGCTTCAGAATCCCAGCCCACATTTCCCACACGAAGTGCCCCACAAGGTTTGAGTGCCCTGTGCCCAGCAGCCTTGTATGTACTGTGCCCTTGGAACTTTGTGCATCTGATGCAGGACAGAAGTAGGTAAAGTGACAAGATGACCCAGCTTAAGCTCAGATGTGATTCAGTGTGTATAACCAGCATGTGTTGGGGAGATAACTGTATTCTGGTCTCCTTCATCAATGCCAAGGCTAGAAAGATTAGCAAGAAAAGGTGTTTATTAGGAAATACCTCCATAGACAGAGATGAGATAGGCACCATGGGGACAGGAGCTTTGTTTGTTTTGCTCATTGCTATCTCTCAGCACCTAAAATAATGCCCTGGTAGAGTAACAACCTCACAAATAGTTGAAATACTGAATGAGAAGATGCAGCTTCTGGGGCATTCTGAATGCCAGAGAGCAGAGAAAGTCATGGACAAGGCCCAGGTGTCCAAAGGAAGCCTGCTGGCAGCTGAGGCAGGGAGTGAGTTGGCATGGGGAGCTATGAATGAAGGTATTGGCAGAGCATACATTGATGGGTGATGAGGGCATTGGTGGGTGTGTGTGAGGAGGACAAAAATTGTTTCATATAAATAGCTCATCAACCCATATTCTCTTCTGCTGAGAATGCAAAGAATAAGATGACAGCTCCCTTTCTCTTCTTGCTTACACTTGTTAGCTCCCTGCATGACTCCCTTTTTCTTTGCCTGTCATGCCCATTGTAAGCTGATTTATCTGAGAAAAGCTGGGGTGGGGGCGAGTACTAGGTGGGGAGCACCTCACAGTCCAATTCCTGGTGTGGCCAGCCTGTCACACCAGGCTGTGAGAGGTAACCATTTCTCATTCAGCTGCCCTCTACTCAGCTGGTATCCATGGTTGAGGTGACTGTGAAGTGCTCAGACTAAGTCAGAACACTGCAGTGCATGTTCATTTGAGGACTGTGTGACCCTGTGCCAAGCCACTGAGTTTTCCTTGTCTTTTCTTTTCAGCATGTTGTTATAGGCTTGGCCCAATTTGGGCTTGGTAAAGTGGAAATAGTCTCAGTATTCTGTGATTCCCACTGACAGTCAGTACAAATGTACACTGTACCCCTTTCTCAACTTCTTCCTTTGGTCAATTTGCGGGTATGGGAGAACTTTGAGCTTGGGCCTAGACTGACACCTGGTTCTGGTCCCAGCTTTGCCTTCATCACGACAGTCACCTTTAACATGTTCCCTCTCCTGCCTGAGCCTCATTCTCCTCCTCCATCAAGTGAAGGGGTGGGATAGGTGGCCCCTATTGCTTCGTTTGCTTCTAGATAGTATAAGGAGATAGATTGTTATTGATTCAGTAGGGACAGTTATCCTACTTAGTTATTTTGGGGGAAAACTTTCTCCAATTTAGTATGAGTAGAACCTCACAGATTGTGGATCCTTCAGGACTTATTAAGTGTTATATTTGACAAGGTGACTTTTTAAAGGATATTCTAATATAATTGCCACTATTTTCTGTTTGTAGTTTGTGTGTGTATTTGAAACAAGTGTTTTAGACTTTGAACTTGCTTTACTGAAATGGTAACCTAAGTAACTGGACTCCATCAAGCTATGCAGGGCTCAGATGGCTTTCAGGTTGCATTTTAAAAGCTACAAATTGTTTTACACACTGAATCACAGAAATTAAAAGTAACTTGAAGAATCTGTAACATCCCAGAGCAACCTCCCCTGGTTGTAGGCAGCCAGTTTCTCTGACTTGTTCTTAGACTTGTGTTTATGTACAGATTTCCTGTACTTGTTTGCCATGTCCTTTTCATGCACATTTGTCCTGTCTCCCTTGATCAGAAACAGTGCCACAGGGGCACACTCAGACCAAAAGGGACCTTGGGTGCCCTTCTCACTTTACAGTGAGGAAAGGGGACCCTGACAGGCTGAAGAACTTGACCAACTCCTCTAAATGGGCCCCGGACCAGGGGAGGGATGCCTTGCCCAGTGTTCTCTGCCCCACTGCTGAAATGCAGGCAGGGACATGTTTTTCTAAAGTCCTGTTTTTTTGCTGTTAGGGAATCTTGAGACTAATTGGCACTTGCCAAGGTCAACCAGGGGCATCTAACTTGCACTGTGGCCCAAGACAAAACCATAAGTTTACTTAAAACATTATGAGATTTCTTTGTGATTACATGTTGCAATGCATTTAATGTGTGGACCAAGACAACTCTTCTTCCAGTGTGGCTCAGAGATACCAAAGTTTGGACACCCCTGGGAGAAACTCATGTGGAAAAGTATGATGTCTCTCTCTCTCAGAGTGACACCTGATTTAAGCTCTGGTCAGAAATAGATCCTTGGGTTTTTTTTCCACTTTTTCTCAGATCTGTTCATTGCCACTTTGAACTTAAATGAACCAGACCATAGTTGAGATTTTTAATTTTTTTTTTGGTAAGCAGTGCAGTACAAGTCTTAATATTTTAATTTTTATGTTTTTTGTAATATGTATTTTTAATTAGATGTATTTTAAATATATTTTATTTATTATGCTATTACAGTTCCAATTCCCCCTCTTTATTTTCCCCCACCCTGCACACCCTCCCCATCCACATTCTCCCCTTTAGTTCATGTCCATGGGTCATACATATAAGTTCTTTGGCTTCTACATTTCGTATACTATTCTTAAACTCCCCCTGTCTATCTTCTACCTACCATTTATGCTACTTATTCTATGTACCTTTCCTCCCTGTCTTCCCCTTCCACTTCCTGGCTGACAACCGTCCATGTGATTTCCATTTCTGTGATTCTGTTCCTGCTCTAGTTGTTTGCTGAGTTTGTTTTTGTTTTTGTTTTAGGTTTGATAATAACTGTGAGTTTGTTGTCATTTTACTATTCATATTTTTTATCTTCTTTTTCTTAGATAAGTCCCTTTAACATTTCATATAATAGGGGCTTGGTGATGATGAATGCCTTTAACTTGACCTTATCTGGGAAGCACTTTATCTGCCCTTCCATTCTAAATGAAAGCTTTGCTGGATAGAGCGATCTTGGATGTAGGTCCTTGCCTTTCATGACTTGGAATACTTTTTTCCAGCTCCTTCTTGCCTGTATGGTTTCATTTGAGAAACCAGCTGACAGTTTTATGGACACTTACATATACTTATATATATAAGTATATTTTCCTTTATTTCAATTTGCATAGCCTTCACTTCCTCCTCTTTTTTGCAACAATACTCAACCATTTCTGTGAGCATCCTGATTACTTGTGTTTTAAACTTTGCATCTGATATGTTGGCAATCTCTTCATCTCTTAGTTCTATTTTTGGAGCTTTGATCTGTTCTTTCATTTGGGCCATATTTTTTGTCTCTGGGTGCCAGTTACATTTTAAGGGGTGGAGCCTTAGGTATTTGCCAGGTGGGGCAACCCACTTTGCTGCATTGTGTCATGTATGTGGGGGAAGGATACTAGAGGGAAGAATGCTGTTTGCTCTGCTCTCAGGTGGCTTTCAGTCACTTCCCCTGCTACCCACAAGCAAATTGGATCCTTCTGGTTTTCATTCCCAGGTGGATGGGCTTGTGTACCTTTTAGGACCCTGTGGGTCTCTCCAACGGATTCTCCTGTGAGGCTGGAAGTTTCTCCCATTTTCCCAACCTGCACAGGGTTTTACAACTAGAGGTTTTGAGACTTTATTTCTCTGTGCTGGAATCCTAGATTGTGTGGTACATCTCACTCCCTAGTTGTTCCTCCCAGTTTATCCTCACACAAATGTGAGCCCACCCAGTCAACCAGCCACTGCTTTGACCACCAGATCTTTCTGCTGCTGCCTCGACACATGTCCTCTGTGCCCCATCTGCCTGTCTCCAACCCTCCTGCCTGTCTGAATGAATATTTCTTCTTTAATTCCTTGGTTGCCAGACTTCCATTCAGTTTGATTTTTTGGCAGTTCTGGTTATTTTTTGTTTTTAGATTTGTTCTTGTCCTTTTGGTTGGGCAAGGAGGCAAACTATATCTGAACTTCTTAATAATTAAAGTACTTTACTAATATATAAAGTCTTCCTAATAGTTAGTCTGTATTAGTGATATTTTACTTTATTACCTTATTTTACATTTACTGCATTAAGAGGGTTTTCATTGAGGATTTCTTTCTGTTATATGCTGTTTGCTTAAATTCTTTTGCTTTTTAACCTAGTTTGATGGTGAAAAAAAGAAATAGGGCTACATTTTATAAAAATTGGTCACAAATTGATTAAGATGAAGTGGTAATAATGGATAAAAGATTCCTTTTCTCTGGATATTTACACTTGGGATTCCATTTTAAAAGTCTGGCTTTTTGAGCTTCTGCCATTCTTATTGTTAATGTTACTTGTGTAATATAATAATTTGAAATATCTGAAAGTATTTTGTAAAGTGTTATTATTATGTAATATATATGAAATAGTTTGTAGATTAAATTTGCTTTTCCTTCACATTTTTAAAAAAAATCAATATGGGCCTTTGTTTCCCCCTTAAGAGTAATTTTTTTTAAACCTCTCAACCCTAGATTTTTCTAGAGTGCTATGGGCAGTGGACCTGAACCTCAGACCTCATTTGTAAGACCTCTGGAATGAACTTGGGCAATGGGCTTCTTCAGGGTGTATATGAACTAAGCATAACCAGGGGAAAGATATTGAAAGGTTGTATGACATTTGTAGCTGTTCTTAGAGAAGCTATGAGCAGTCAGTGCTGTGTTGTCTTGTCTTGTCCTCCCACACTTTCACAGACTTTCAGAAAAATGGGCTGCAGCTGCCCCTTCCCCAGAGCTCTCCTAGTGCCTACAGTGTGGTCATCAGCACAGCTTTCTGTGGCTTTTATTTTGTCCTTTTTGGCTTCTGTGAGTCTACTAAATTTAAGGTTCCTACAGGTCACCAGGAAAATGATCTCTTTCTTTTTAATTTCAGCAAAGGAAGAGGTAAAGCGCAGAGAGCAGCAGATCAGACCACATGAAGCTCCACTGGAGCACCTGAGAGCTGTGAAGGATGGTGGCTGTCGAGCTGCTGAGGAGGCCCTTGCTCTAAGGTGGGAAAGCAGGTCTTAGCAGCACAGATCCCATCACTCCCTGCTCATCATGGACTCTACCCTCTGGCTGGATGGCTGATGTGACTGTGTGCCCTAATTGTGCATGCTGCTGGACTGGGTGCCATCCCAGGTACCACCTGCTCTGTGGGAGCAGGGCAGGTGGGCATCAGATGCTACCAAAAGCCGGACGGGACAAAGCAATGGACTCCGACAAGCTAAGATGGAAGTGACCTGAGGCTTCACCCAGGCAGTTTCCTCTTGACAGGACAGCTTGAGTCAGAGCACAGGTTTGTCTGGGGAGCAGTATGCAGGAAGCTGGTTTTCAGGCCACAAATGCTTTCACAGGTGAGAATTCTCTACATTTAAATGCAAATTTTATTTTGACTCTTAATTGACAGGTGATAAAATGTCAAACAATTGTAGAAATTAAAGGTACATTTGCACTGATGAACTAAAGGCCATACAGAGTCAAGGGCTCAGGCTGCCATGGTTACTGATTTTGACAAAATAATAGCATGTTTTCTTTCTCTCTAAATAAGAATTCAAAAAAAGCATTTAGCATTTTATGATTCTGCTTTTGTTGAGTAATAGAGCACACACATGTCTTGCAAGTCATTATTCTTTAAAGGAATCTGTCACTAATAGAGCAATGTATAGGGGATTTGTTTTTCTTTGCAGACTGGGAAGACTCTTGAGTAAAGTTATTGCTGATGAATAACCTCTCCCTCCCCATCTTTAGTTTTCTCAGATTTATTCATGTGTGAATGGTGGTGAGGTGGCAACTCTGCTGAACTAACCTTGCAGTGAAGATCTTCTCCTATAAATGGGCTCACACAGAAGCCTGGCATCACTACTTAACAATGACTTACCCCCTGGCTGCCACTTTGAAGATTTTGCGGGGAACCTCTTAGTCTGGGTGGTGCCTCAGAAATATGGGCCAAGACACAGGGGCTTTTGAATTTGGGTTCTGGTTCTTTGTCTAGTTTGCTTAACATGCCAGGAAGCTGCTTAATTATTCTGGGCTTCTGGCTCCTCATTTATAAAATGGGTCTGTGAAGTTGAAGAATCTCATGGAATTCAGAGAAAATATTTTTACATAAAAGTTTTGTTTTTGTTTTTGAAGGAAAGATAGTAGAATAATCACAAGAAGTGACTTACTGAGTGTTATCACAAGAAGCGGTCCTGTGAATCTTAAATGTTTGTATCTGTTCACATTTTGTGGAGAGAGAAGATGAGGTTGTTGGAGTGCCTGGAGAGAGGTTGTGGCTTAGGTTTGAGAGTCACACAGACTTGGACTGGACTTTGCCTCCTTCACTGACTAGAGCTGTGCACCTGGACAGTCATCGGGCTCCTCTCCATTTTCCTTTGCTCATTTATAAGTCAAGATGGTTGTGTGTGCAGCTCTCATGATGCTGCTCTGAGGAAAAATGAGACAACATAAATAAGATGCAGTACACATATCTTGATCCTTTTCAGGCTGATGTGGAGTCATAGTATTGAGCCAGTTTGCCTGGTCCAGGCCTTGATCCTCCTTGTGCTCAGACTTTTGAGCAGACTCCTTAGATCTCTCAGCATCTGCAACTATAACATGGGAGCCTCCACCTTGAAGGCTTGGGAAGGTCCTCCTAGAGTGGTCATAGCCCACTGAAAAATGAGTGAAAGAGCTATTTAAATATAGATTCAAAATAACACACATGATTGAGCTCTCTAGAACTGTTTTCAGACTTCCAGCCTGACTGGCTCAAAACCATACCCTTCTATCTTCCCTTAATGGGCATATTTCAATTGTTTCAGTCACATGTGCTGTTCTTTAATAGAATGTCTCCTCCTCTCTAGGCAGAGGGTGACCTGCTTGGCTGTGACACAGAATACCTCTGTGAAGTGGCCAGGTGTACCACCCTTCATACTCTTCTTCCCCATTTGCCAGGATAGTGCTGGGAGGAGATTATCCAGGAAGTGCATGCAAATAAGCTTATAGAAGCAGTTCTGAGAGGAAGAGGAAGCAAGAAAAGAAAAGGAAGAGAGGCTGGACAAAAAATACCTGAGGAAGAGTGGCACATGGTTCAAAATGTAGACTAGCCCAGAGGTGGGTTTCTAGGTACACTTTCTTCATCCTTCTGAGACTGGTGCTGGTCTGTTGTGGCTCATGCTTAGACATTGTGTCCAGTCTTCATCACTCATTGAGATGCTCTGCAGCTTCTCTGTCCTGGGGGAAAGTAATTCTCCACCCCATCAGGATCCCAGGCTGGCCTGAATCAGAAGGTACAGTAGACTTTGAGTAATGAAAACCCTTAGGTTCTGCCTGGAGAATTCTTAGTAGTTAGGATAATGCCTGGCACATTAATCAAGGCCCAAGTAAGTGGAAGCTGTTATTATGGCTATTACTGCCTGGGTTGTGGGTTATGCACAGGATCCCATGTCACCTCCTTACACACTCATACAGGAGAAGCATCCTCACTAAAAAGTTAGTTCAGCCACCCTCTTGAAGCTACTCCCTGGCTCATATTTTCTTATCTTCTTTTAACTCATAGTTTTCCTAAGAACTCTGTTTTCTTACAAATTTGGCCCCCTCAGTTGCATCAGCCTATCTGAATAATAATCATACTAGTGGTATTATTTACTAGTAGTAAAATGATAACTGTGGCTAATATTTTAGAGAATTTACTGTATGCTTTAGCTGTGTTACCTCTGTCAGTCTATACTACAACTCTGATGCCACTGTTAGTGTTCTGGTGTTCCTGGTGTGCAGGGGCACATTCAGAGTAGCCAGGAATTAGATTGAGCCTTTCCAAATCTTCTAGCACTGTGTGTGACTTCAGTTGCACATAGGGGTCACCTGAGGAACTTTACCACTGCCCGGGTCTCACTCTCAGAGATTGGGATTTAATTGGACTCTGCATCACCTAACCCTGCTAAATCAGGACCTGCATCCTAACAAGATCCCAGGTGCTTGGTGCACATAAAAGTCTGGGAAGTAGTGAGAGCCAGCACTGTACAGAGAGTGGTGTTTAGAGGTGAGGGATGAGTTGGGAGAATCAGTTCTTCAGAAGCAGAGCTGACTTGTCCCATTCCTGCAGGATGGATGATTGGATTAACAAATCTGCCCATTCTTAAGGAAACTGTCAAGTGTTGATTGTTAGTTATCAGAGCTGGGCACAGTAACTATAGTGGGACAATGTTTTTAGCTTCCCAATATCTCTAGAAAATAACCAGTGGTAAAATAAAGGAGCTAGAAGTACCCAGCCTTCTTTGGAGGTGGGTCCCAGTAGACTGCTCATCATTTTTATTCTTTGCCTGTTCTCATCTTTCTTTGCCCACATAGTTGGTAAAAGTTACTTATGATGTAGGATGAAAGAACTGACCTTCTGTCCTGCCCAAGCAGCTAGCTAAAACTGTAGCTTTAGATGGAGGTGAGGAGGAGGCTGGTGCCCACCCCCTTAGTTGGTTTGCTATATGTATGTTTATTGACTATAGTTTTTTTCTATCCTAGGGCAACTAATGATGCTTATATTTTAGTTTTTTTTTAATTGAAGAAAGACTGATTTTGCTCATTCTATAAGTTAATGGAAAGGAGGCTTGCTTTAGATATCTTAAATGATGAAGGGGTTAAGGCATTTTTCCTTGGCTTTAATTCTTGTTTTAGAGCAAGACAAAAATGCTACCATACAGTTAACCATACCTACCCTTAAACAAATTTGCCATTTTATATTTTATGTTTTAGTTCTCATGGTGGGGGTTGTTAAGATTCCTATTTAGTAAGGATTTAGGACTGCAGCCTGGTCGGGAGAGAAGGTTGGGAGACCCGTGTAAAGCTGTGTTTGCCTGGCAAGCCCACTGTTTGTTTGGAGTGTGTGAAATTACCTTGATGGGTGGTGGGAGCTTAGAAGACCCCTCTCCCCAAGACACTGCTGGCCCACCCATGTGGTTAGACATTGCCTCTTAAGTCCCTCTTCCTCTGTGAGATATGACCACATTGGATACATATCGCAAATTCAACTTCCCAATTATGATTTTATTAGGTTAATTGTTGCATAAAAGAATTTATACATTGTATTTAAATTTTACAGTGCATGTAATTAAAAAATAATTTTAATCATTTAGATACTGTTTTGTAACCAAAAACTTAATATTTCCTTTCATGTGCTTTCCAAATTTTCTTACGAGCAGGGTCCCTTTATGCAACAATTACCCATATACAGTCCTGCCATATGAAGCTTTGCACTATTAGCATTTTGACCTGTGTCCTTTCAATAGTTTTCCTGTGCAAATTTTTTTCTTACAGAACTGTGTGATAATATATATTCAATTTTATAACCTAATCATTTCCTTCTAAACATTTATTATGAGCATTTTCTTTTAAATATGATTTAAAATCACATCATAGTACTCTTTTATGTATGTGTTCTTAAATTTTAAAAGTGTGTTCTTATTGTTGGGTATTGCAGTTTTTCTCCTTATAAATAATGCTTTGATGAACACCTTTGTGCAAAAAATTATTCTGTATATGGGGTAATTTCCTTCTGTATATTAGGATAAAATACTAGAAACAGAATTATTAAGCCCAAGGATATGAACTTTATTAAAATTTATGGTTGAATTTCCAAAGGGTTTGGTTGATCCTAGCTTCCGAGACTTTGCTGAGCTCAATTTCTTCCAATTGCCTGTTCACTGTTGCTGTGGCCTGTCCCTGCCATTCAACTGTAAGGTGGAGATGCTCTGCCTTCCCTGCAGGGTGTCATGAGATTGATTCATGTTTGTGGAACTTTTTGCAGCACACTGCTGTAAAGGCAACCTGAGTGCCACAGTTATGATGACACTGCTAATATTTTATTTGGGCAAAGGAGCACTCAGGCATCCTAACTTTACTGTTTTTGTTCTTTCAGGCAGTCTTTCTACATGGCAATGATGTAGATAGATAGACTCCAGCAAGATAAGACTCTTGTAAAAAGAAACACTCAGTGCCTCTGGGAAGATAGAAATGGATATCCTTCCAGGATATGCCAGTAAGGCCTTCATTGAAGTGTCCTAATAGTGATGGAGATTTCATCTGAAGTTTACTGTACTTGTCAGTGACTTAGAACACACCCTGCCTAGGTTATCACTATGTATACCCAAAAGAAGATTTGGGGTTTGAGGTTCTACCTCCTCCCCACCCCCAATGCAACCCTTAGATATTGTAAAAGTTTTACTCACTTGTCTTAAGTTCTCTGAATCATTTCATTAAATGTTAAAAAAAATTAACCTTGGATAACTAGGTAAATAACCAAATTCCTGTAGAATTTGCAGATATTTCTTGTGAAAAAAATAATCAGATCTAATTGTTAAATAAATTAAGGTTATTTCAC